GCTCTGAGTGTTTCCCAGCATCAAAATTCCCCCCCTCCCCAAATACTGCTCTGTCACTTTTCTGTGATTTCTTCCACATTGATTTCACCCCTGAGTGGCTGTTAGGTTCACAACTCATTTTAGAGTTGTAGGACTGAGGTATCTGGTCCTAAAACCCTCCTCATTTTTCTTCGCAGTATTCATTTTCCTTCCCCTATTTTCCATCAACCCTTTCCTTTTTCTCTTTCTTTTTCTTTTTATCATTTGTTTTGGTCCACATGCTCAATAGCCTGTCTGTAAGTCTGCCACTGTTTGTTAATTTGTTTTGCTTCCAAATTGAGCTGGTGGCTGAATATCATTCAGGATAATGCTGCTAGAACTGTTTGTATTAGAAAGGGGCACAGGAATCTTGCCATTGGGGCCCAGACCTCAAAACTGACTGTTGTTGCAGATCCGTGAGTCAGCAGGTGTTTGTGGCTGTCATGCTTAACCAATATTTAGTTGAATATTTGATGTAAGTGTGGCATCTTACCTGGCCAGCTCCCTGGGTTCCAAAGGCAAGTGGGTATGCCAGGCAGAGAAGGACTGATTAAAAAGACCTTCAAAGGCAGGACTAATGTGGTCCAATGGTTAAGGACCCTCATTTAATTCCTGCCATTCTGGTCCACGCCAACTTCTTTCCGCCCTTGTGATTATGCCAGCTGAGAAGCGGGGAAGGGAAGATGAACTTTGGTGTGCTCTGAATTTTTCTGTCCAGCAGTGTCTGTCATATTAAAAATGAGAGGGAAGAAGGCCAGAGAATCTTCCAGATGGAGAGTTCAGAGGAGGGCACAATCAGACTCCTTTGCCACAGTGACATAGCAGGGCCATCCGCCATCTAAGCATTGGCCCCCAAGCCAGAGGAGCACAGGCTGCTACCTGACCCTGCAGTAGTGTAGCAGTATGGCAGAGCAGTCACTCTTGGCTTTGGGTGGGAACGTATTCAGACAGGCACACGCAGGCCATGTGGTAGAGGCACAACATTTATCCCAAGGGCTGGGGCAGCCCTTTATCCCGAACTTCTTTTAAGAATGCACTCCCCAAGTCATGTGGGCAACCACAGAAACCAAATGAGGAGTTGGTGTTCTCCAGCCTCTCTCTTTCTTTCTTTAGAATCAGTCAGCCATGTAAGAAAGGTGACCATAGATAGGCTGGGGGCAATAGTTGCCCAGTGGCTGTACATCCTTGGATGGACAGCATGTGGACAGTAGTTCCAGGCAGTAGAGGATTGGTGAGGACACAGTGCGTTGACAGTCACTTTCCACACGACTTGGTAGCTCAATTTTGTAACTGGTTTTAGCATTTATTTCTGAAGAGTGTCTAGTGTGGGTGCTCCAGGAACAGGCCTTTACTCAAATGAGAAGTGTTTTCAGAATAAGGCTATCTGAGGTCTATGTAATGATGGCATGATAACAAATGAGGTTAAACACTGAACATCTGGTTTGACCTTCCTTAAAAATGGATTATTTTAACATTGTGTCTACACAACCACTATTTCTTTCTGAGACAACACTCTTTTTCTCAGTCTCAGGTTATATTAGAGTTTGGGGACAGCCTGTGCTTTTGGGAGCAGAGCTATCTGACTTGAAATGTCATCCCATTCTGAGAAAACATACTGAGGCCACAGTAGTGCATCCCTGTGCAAATGTCACATTGTCAGAGTGCCTCCCCTGGGATTAGACCAGCCGTGGTACTTCCCAGTCCTGTCTGTCTGGTCCAACAAAGCCACTGACCCCTCACAGTGAGGTCGCCAACCCAGCCAAGGTCATGCTCCCTGAGATTTCATGGAATTTGATCTGTCTCTAGCTCTCTGAATTTTAAGATGCTAATTATTGGATGATTGGTATTCTCCTCAGATGTCACCTAATGATTTTCCAGAGTTCAGGCTACTTGGAAAATTTACTTTTCCAATGCCTGGCAAATATAACAGCATTGAACAGGTGTGGAGATAGTGTGTTGTGTTTGCATGTGTGTGTATGTGGGTGTGTGTATCTCAGGTCACAGAACTGTAGGCTTCCATAGAAAGAGACCTTTATATCTTATGAAAACCTAGAGTACAAATAAGAAAAGGAAAAAAAATCATAAAAAACAAAACTTATCCTAGCTTAAGAATTCTCAATGTTTTCAATTTTAATAGTAATGTAAACTTCAGCATTCCTTTATTAAGCAGATATTATTGAGTGTACCTTATGTGCCAGAGGCTGTGGATCCAAAAAGGAACAAGACAGATGTGTTCTGTATCTATGCCAAACATATGGTCTAGGAAAGGCTGTTGCATACATTTTGACAACATCGATAGTTTACAGGTAAATAGCAAAACTAAGAATTATTCTGATCACCTCTCTGAACCCTAAATATATCAGAGTTTCACTAATTCTGAAAATACTCCATAAGAATTATATAAAAAATTGATATAAAACTTCTAGGACTATATCTGAGAAGTGTCAGGTTTTGGGGGTCTTTGCTGCTTTTTCTTGTGAGGGTTTAAATCGGTATGCAGATTCTCAAGTACATGTGTTTAAAACATTCATTCGTCATTAGGTGGTTTAACCAGGGGTATGTTTTCCAACTGCCTGGTTTTCACCAATATGTAGACAAAGATTTAAGAGCATACTCTTACTGAAAATTGGCTATCATTTGATAGAATGTTGTAATAATTTGTCTTCAGTAACAGCTCACTGACCATAGCATAAGAACCAAACAGAGGGATGAATTTATTCAGTGTCTTCATTCTTGTGGCTTGTGTTCATTCCTGAGGAATGGGCTTCTTCCCTAGGTATGTAGATAATTGTTAAAGACTTAAAGGTCAATAAGCAATCCCTGAATATGTCCATCAAGTCTGGCTAGGGCTACAGAAAGCAACAATGTAGGTGAATCCCTGGATCCTGGTGGTATTGTTGTAGATAAGGTGAGGTTGGATGGCTCCCAGAGACAGGTTTCAGTTGGGAGAAGATAAGTCTCACTGACATAAGTCTCAAAAGATGTTCCTATATTTGAGAAAGATGTTGTTTTAAATTAGGAATGGTTTTTAAGGGAGCTGGGACTGGATAATGGAGTGAGGGGGTTGGGGTGGGTAAAACATTTTCTCAGTGACTATCTTCTGAAAAACCAATAGGACAAATCAGTGTGTTACTGGCCTATACTGCTCTGCTTCCATGTTTGTGTCTTTTCGGACAGCTGAAGTCCAAACCTATTTGGATTCATCTGAACCTAATCTATGTCTTTCAGGAGATCACATGAAGGTTACAGAGTCTGTCTGCTCGAGAACAAAATGTTAGGCATGAGGGGAATGGCAAGTGGTGTACCACATCGTAGCTTCAGGTGAAAATATTTTCATGGCCTACAGAAGTTTAGGTTGTTGGATTTTTCACATGAAGGCAAACATGGGAAAGAAAGTACTAGTTTGAGTGGCTCTTACTGACTTTTGCCCAGAGAGATAGGTGCTTTGGCACTGGAACAAGAGTTTTCTGATCCTGGCCTGCTCTTGCATTGAACACCAAGCACACATACAAGGACAAATGTTCAAGCACTAGAGATATACACAAAGACTGTAGAATCCACACTTGTTTATTCAACAAGTATTTATGGAATGACTCTTTGGTGTTGGTTTAGAACCTGGGGCTCACAATGAGTGGACAAGATGAGGTTGGTTTGAACCATAAAGGCCATAGGTTTTCAAGTGTTTAGACACTAATTAAGGTGATAAAATACATAAAGGGGAAAGCAATAATTTAAGACCATAGTATACATGCCTGTTTCAAGTCTTATATGATTAAGGTGCGGCCAAAGCTGTTTTAAGACCAGTCCTCCTACCTTTCCTTTTTGACTTTCTGGAAACCTTTAGTGCCCTTTCCCTCTGTTCTGCTTTCAGCTTCTTTCTCTCAGCTGGATCCTCTCATTACTTTGTCACATGCTCAGGTTTCTTTTTTCTGTTTACAAACTACATGAAGAAACCCTCTTTCAGTCCTTTTTCCTGCTGTAGTTGCTATTCTCTTTCCTCCCCTTCATTTCCAGATTGCCCTTATTTACCTTCATTTTAGTGATTTTCTCTTATATTTTAACAAACTCCAAACTAAATTCTGTCTCAATCAGTCCACAAAACAGTTCTCATTGAGTTGCTCAATGACCTTCGTGTTGGGCATTTTTAGTACTTATAGCACTTGACCTTTCTGTGACATTTAATGTTTTTGTTTTACTTTTCTTGCAACTATTCTCTCTCCTATACGGTATTCTTCCTTCTCAACATATCTGTTAAATGTTGAACTTCCTCAAGGATCAACTCAGGCCTCACTTCTCTTCCTACTTTCTACTTAGAGATAACTCACCAACTGAAAACCTCCCCTCTGAGCTATAAACAAATATATACTGTGTATATTAGCAAAAACATAGTACATACAGGGTTTAGTACTATATGTGGTTTCAGGTATCACCTGGGGGTCTTGGAATGTGTCCCCTGGGATAAGGATAAAGGGCACTGCTGTACTCATTAGGCGTGTGGTGAGGTCTGTATTGGAGGGACCATGTTCCTCATGTAAATCCCCATGTTCCCCATGTTCCTCATGGAATGGGATCCTTCAAGTTAAACTTTTTCAGGGAAATGGAAATAGACTGTGCAGGAGAGATGACACTAAAAGAAGTAAGAAAATAAAGTGCTTAGTCAGAGGGAGAGTCCTGTGTAATGTTTAATTTGATTTTCATCTCTACCCGTTCCATTCTGTTGAATTCATATCCCGAAAGATTTGAGTGTAGATCTGGCTAGGTTTGTGTGCTTCAACTGAGTAGATGTGTGTGCTGTTTTCAGTTTATGACAGTGTCTTTTATTGGCTTCTTGTGTGGTAGATATGAGGCACAAGTTTTATAAGTGGTTTATTTGGCTTGAACCATACACCACAACATATGGAAATTCTACTTAGAGACATGGAGAGAAAATGTTTGGTGTTTTATGCAGATAACTCAGTGCTTTCATTTTTATGTCTTTGTAGCTTTGAAGCTCAGCAAAGAAGGGGATTCATTGAGAATAGTCTGTAAAGGTAAGTGTATTTATTACATGGCCTTGGCAAACATTGCCTTTACAACATTGATTTTTCTTTTATTCAGAGATTTAAACACTTGGATTAAAGATATAGTTGACAGGACAACTTCCTTAACCGCTTGCTTGTTCTTCTTCATAGGCAGAAGTGCTGAGCAATAGTTAGCAGAGAGCAGGAGGAAATAAAATGATGTGCTGAGGGTACCCAAAATCAGTTGTATGCTTGCTGACTTTTGCTTTCTTCACAGCATTTAAGGTATTTCAGTGGAGCTAAGTTTACTAAGATTAATGCCAGGTGGATAAAGAGTGCACTCGTACCACCTCTGGTCAATAGTTAAATAAAACCAGCTGGCCAGATAAAGCATTTAAAATGAAATGCAGAGTGGCATTTCAGTTGGGTTGGATGAAATTTATCATGAAAGTCAGTTTGTGCAGTTGTGTGGAGAAGCCAGTTTTGTAGAAGAAAGCCAGCCAGTTTGGTGTAGCTAATTTCATTCCACCCAGTCACAGTGGACCTTAAGTGAGTTATAGGAAATGAATTTCCAAGTTCCCAGCAATGGGAAAAGTACCTACTCAGCCTCCTGTGAAACATTACAATTGAGTTGATTTTTACATGGAAAAATGTAATTGTTTCCTCTTTGCTAGGTATATTTATACGCATACTGCTGTATAGCATTGTTCTTTGATTCATTGTTTAATTTTTGTTCTGCATGAAGTATTTTAATTTAAAGAATTCATTCTGGGGAATTATAGGGCTGCCGTTTCATCGAGAGTCTTTGGTGGCCAAGATGAAATATACCGTAATTTTACCTTTGTTTTCATCATCAATTATGTTTTTGACAATTTTAGGTTTTTTAATGCCATTTTTATTATAGCAATCATGACTATGACCACTTTAGTTAAAGTTGAAAAGCCATTTGACTTACTTATATTTTAAGTTATTCCTAACTTTATGACAAATCTACTTCTGGGGTTGAATTTTCAATGTTTATTTTGAGGATGAAAAAGCATTTTACAGGGAAATTGGAGAAAAACTTTTTTGAATAATCAAAACATGAGCTATAAAACACTGTTTTGATGATTTGCTTTGGGATAACTTAAGTCTGGTGCATGAAAGGTAGTTGGCTTGGAATTTTCCTGCAATGGTTGGGCACTAGTGAAGAAAAACTGACTTAAGAAGTAGATAATTTTTATTTTTAGCCATGTAACTAATATATCTTTGGACCAACGAACCACATCTTGGAATAAAGCATACTTGAAAACTTAGAAAAAGAATTCTCATTAATTATCAGAGTTAGTGATTAGGCAGCAACATTCAGAACCTTGAGATCTTTAGGTATGGTTATGGTACTCACATTCCTCATGGAGGGTTTTTCATACCAGTAAAATTCATTTCCTCTATTCTCAATGAAAATCCTTGGTTAAATTAGTGTTCTGGAGACAGATATGGATTTAGTCCTGGTTTGACTTTTTTAAAAATTGTTTTCCAAGTACAGTTGTCTCCATTTTCACTGCTCCACTTGCCCCCATCCTACCCATCCCCACCTTCCACCCTCGATCCTACCCCTTTTGGCTTTGTCCATGTGTCTTTTATACATGTTCCTTGATGACCTTTCCCTATTTCCTCATTATCCCTCTCCCCACTCCCCCTCTGGTTACTGTCAGTTTGTTCTTTATTTCAGTGTCTCTGGTTATATTTTGCTTGTTTTTTGTTTTGTTGATTGTATCCTACTTATAGGTGATATCATATGGTATTTGTCTTTCACTGTCTGGCTTATTTCACTTAGCATAATGCTCTGCAGTTCCATCCATGCTGTTGCAAAGGGTAGGAACTCCTTCTTTCTCTCTGCCATGTAGTATTCCATTGTGTAAATGTACCATAGTTTTTTGATTCACTCATTTACTGGTGGGTACTAAGGTTGCTTCCAGCACTTGGCTATGGTAAATTGTGCTGCTATGAATATTTGGGTGCATAGATATTTTTGAATTGGTTTTTCAGTGTTCTTAGGGTGTAATCCCAGTAGTGGTATTGCTGGGTCAAAAGGCATTCCATTTTTAGTTTTCTGAGGAAATTCAATACTGTTTTCTCAAGTGGCTGCACCAGTCTGCATTCTTACTGACAGTGCACTAGGGTTCCCTTTTCTCCACAACCTCTCCAGCATTTGTTGTTTGTCGATTTGTTTATGATGGCCATTGTCACTAGTGTGAAGTGGTATCTCACTGTGGTTTTAATTTGGATCTATCTGATGGCTAGTGATGCTGAGCATCCTTTCATATGTCTCTGGGCCTTCTGCATGTCCTCCTTGGAGAGGTGTCTGTCCAGGTCCTTTGCTCATTTTTTGATTGGGTTGTTTGTTTTCCTAGAGTGGAGTCATGTGAGTTCTTTGTATATTTTGGAGATCAAACCCTTGTCTGAGGTATCATTTGCAAATGTATTTTCCCATAGGGTTGATTCCCTTTTCATTTTGATGATGGTTTCTTTAGTTATGTAGAAGGTTTTTATTTTGGTGAGGTCTCATTTGTTTATTCATTCCTTTATGTCCCTTGCTGTAGGGGACATATTGGTGAAAATGTTGCTGTGTGCAATATCTGAGATTTTCCTGCCTATGTTCTCCTCTGGGATTTTATGGTGTAGTGACTAATATTTAAGTCTTTTATCCACCTTGAATTTATTTTTGTGTGTGGTGTAAGTTGGTGGTCAAGTTTCATGTTTTTGCATGTAGCTGTCCAGTTCTCCCAATACCATTTTTTGGAGGCTAGTTTTACTCTATTTTATGCTGCTGCATGATTTTTGGAATCAAATCAGACTTGGTTTATTTCTGGGCTCTCTATTCTGTTCAGTTGGTCTATGTGTCTGTTCTATGCCAGCACCAGACTGTTTTGATTACAGTAGACTTGTAATATAGTTTGATATCAGGTATTTTGATCCTTCCTACTTTGTTTTTCTTTCTCAGAATTGCTGTGGCTTTCAGGTTGGTTTATGGTCCCATATAAATTTTTGGAATATTTGTTCTATGTCTGTGAAATATGTTATTAGTATGTTAATAGGTATTGTGTTGAATCTTTAAATTGCTTTGGGTAATATGGACATTTGATGATATTAGTTCTTCCAGTCTGTGAACAAGGTATATGCTTCTATTTATTCCTGTCTTTCTTCAGTGTTGTGTAGTTTTCTGAGTATAGGTCTTTTATCTCCTTGGTAAGGTTTATTCCTAGTTGTTTTGTTTTTCTTGTTGCTATAGCAAATGGGATTTTTTTCCTGATTTCTGATTCTGATATTTCATTGTTAGTGTATACACATGCCTTCAATTTCTGACTACTAACTTTTTATCCTGATTTTAGCCAAATTCACTTATTCAGTTGAGTATATTTTTGGTGGAATCTATAAGGTTTTCTAGGTACACTATAATATCTGCAAACAGTGACAGTTTTACTTCCACCTTTGCAATTTGGATGCCTTTTATTTCGTTTTCTTGTCTGATTGCTGCGGCTAGGATTTTCAATACTATGCTGAATAGAAGTGGTGAAAGCAAACACCCTTGTTTAGTTCCTGATCTTAGTGGGAAAGCTTTTAGGTTTTGCCCATTGAATATGATGGTGGCTGTAGGTTTCTCATATATCCCTTTATTATGTTGTGGTATGCTCTCTCTACTCTCACTTTGCTGAGTGTTTTTATCAAAAAATGGGTACATTACCTTATCAAATGCTTTTTCCACATCTATTGATATGATCATGTTCCTTTTGTTTATGTTTTGTATTATATTTATTGATTTGCTAATATTGTACCATCCTTGCATCCCTGGAATTAATCTCACTTGATCATGGTGCATGATCTTTTTAAGGTATTGCTGAATGAGGTTTGCCAATATTTTGTTGAGTATTTTAGTGTCTATGTTCATCAGTAATATTGACCTGTAGTTTTCTTTCTTTGTTGTGTCTTTATCTGGTTTTGAAATTATGATGATTCTGGCTTTGTAAAAAGAGTTTGGGAGTTTTCTCTCTTCTTGGAGTTTTTGGAGTAGTCTGAGAAGGATAGGGATTAGCTCTTCCTTAAATGTTTGCTAAAATTCTCCTATGAAACCATCTGGTCCAGGGCTTTTGTGTTCAGGGAGTTTTTTGATTATTGCTTTAATTTCATCAGCTGTTTTTGGTCTGTTTGGGCTTTCTGCTTCTTCATTCAGTTTTGGAAGATTATATTTTTTCTGAAAACTTTTCCGTTTCACCCTGGTTTTCAAATTTCTTGGCATATAGTTGTGCATAATAATTTCTTACAACTCTTTGTATTTCTGTGGTATCAATTGTAATTCCTCCTCTTTCATTTCTGATTTTGTTTGTTTGGGTCCTCTCTCTTTTTTCTTGATGAGTCTTCTTAAAAGCTTGTCAATTTTGTTTATCTTTATAACAACCAGCTTCTGGATTTATTGATCCTTTGGATTATTCTTTTAGTCTGTCAGAGAAGTCATTCTCTCCAATTTCTGTGGCATGGAATTGTGATGGGACTGAGATTTCTTTCTGCTTACCCCAGCATCCCAAAACAAAACTCTTTAAGTCTTTTTCTACTTTTTCCTGAATTTTTACTCCTTTTTACAACATTTTTCTTGTCCCACTGAACACCTTCTTTTCAATGACCTGTAAAATGTGATTGAAAACTCAATTAATTTTTTCTCTGGCATTGCTTGTGGTTTCCTGAGAATGGAGTGGCCAAGTTTGCTCTATTTCCCCTTGTGTCTTGTTTGTTGACTGCTTCTGTGTTTTGTGCAGTGTCAAGAATAAAGCTGGTTAATGATTTTTTCACAGGACATCAATTTTGTTCTCCTGTGAATAAGTAGCACAACAGCATTGTATGGTGGAAAGAGCCTTTGCTGAAGTGTTGGGAAACATGCCTTCTATCAATAATTTGGGTTCTGCTGCTTGCCAGCTGCTTAAGGTTTCAGGATCTTCAACTATAAAATCAGAGTAACCCTCGCCCTATCTACTACCTAGCATAGGGCTATTTTGAAG